GTCAAATAATTTATTAAACCATCAAGCCACTATAGAAGCAGTAATAGATAAAAAAACTGCACGAAGTTGTTGTGGGTACTTCTAGACAGTAATTGTAAATAGTCAAACTACATTTCTACTTTGAAATCCAGATTAAGTAGCGCATGTTATGCATTGAGAATTTTTTCACGTCTCTTTCATACATCAATATTAAAAACAGTATACTTTGCCCATTTTTACTCGATAGCCAAATATGGCATTGAAGTCTGGTTGTACCTCTGAATTAGAGCAGATATTCGTACTTCAGAAAAGAGCTATTAGGATAATGTATAAAATGAAATATAGAGATTCTTGTAGAGGCATCTTTAGACAAAACGATATTCTTATAATTCCTGGTCTGTATATATTTTCGTGTATATTGATCACAGCATTATTTTTTTTAGACAATGCGCCTTACCATCCCGAAATTTTAAACAATAGTCCAACAATGCTGATTTGTAGAATAAAGTCCATCCAACAAATTCGTGGAATAAAGACAAAATTAAAGAATGGTTGATGAATGAATGTATACCGATTGCACAGCATGTATTTAAATCTGAATTATTACGATATCATCAAGTTTTATGTCTTTCACCATACCGCGGCGAGATTAACGCCATCAAATAGATATAGGGAATAACAAAACAATATTATGACAACCATGTTGAGACTAATGGTTACTGACGAAGCAGTTTGGGAACATTTGCGAAACGCACGTTAAATTTTAACTCCAGAAGTATGGTGGAAATGTATATCCAAGTGCGTAAAATAATTGAGGATTGGTGGATTCATGGAAACAAAATAAGCGAAATAAGGTCAATTATAATAAAAATTAACAGTAATGATAATGTCGATAACGGAGGTGGCGATGATTTTTTAAACAATAACGACTAACATATTTTAGTTTTTTTTTATTGTTACATTGCATGTTTAAAATCTACTCTATACACAGAGTGATAAGTAAATAGTCTGTGAGTTAATTAACGTGAGTTAGGTATTGACGGTTTGACGGAGGATTGACGGTTCTTTAAGTATTATTGCGGTAGGTCTTCTGGACATACCCTCTTCAATCTTCTTTCAGCACATGGTTGGGTGAATAGATTATTTATCATATCGTTGTTGTAATCAGTGGTGCCATTTTTATATTTTATTGAGTGATTCTTAATTATGTTCTTAAGTAATGGGATGTCCAGATCATTGTAAAGTGTTTCGTTAAATACATACCATGAAGCTTTACTTATCATAAGTTTCTCATCCAAATACAATCCCAAGTATTTGACAACTGGTATAACTAGGAATGGGAGTATTATTAACATAAACTTATGGACATATAGATTTTCTTGTTGTAAAAGTAATTTTATACATAGAGAGAAATACAAACTTGGGAGAAATACATCAAGGACCTATTCGCAGATAATAGGGAAGAAATAAATGATACATTACCAACTAATTAAAATCTAAAAATTCTGATATCAGAGGTTAAACAGGCAATTAAAATCTCAAAAAGTGGTAAAGCGCCAGGTCCCGATGAAATTCCTGTAGAGATATTAAAAATCCTGAATGATGAAAATATAGAGTGTCTTACTAAATTATTTAGTAAAATATACCACGATGGTCAAATCCCGGATGAATGGTTAAAATCTATCTTTTTACCCCTACCCAAGAAAAATAATCCTAAATCTTGCGATGAGTACCGATTAATTAGCCTTATCAGCCACACTTTAAAAATACTACTCAAAGTTATTCAGCAGCGTATATATAAATAATGTGAAGAACAATTAGACAATACACAGTTTGGATTTAGATGTGGAATGGGAACAAGAGAGGCACTGTGCGCAATGACGGTACTATTACAAAAATGCAGGGAATATAATAAAAATGTATTCATATGTTATATAGATTTCCAAAAAGCTTTTGATAGAGTCCAACGTGGTAAACTCATACATGCATTGAAACACATACACCTAGATCCCAAGGATATTAATTTAATCGAAAATCTGTACTACAATCAAACAGCGGTCGTACGGGTGGAAGATAGTGAGACAAACCAGGTGGAAATTCAAAGAGGAGTCAGACAGGGATGTGTGCTGTCGCCACAATTATTTAATGTGTACTCCCAACTAATATTTCAGGAGGCACTATGGGAAAGAACTGAAGGTGTAAGGATTGAAGGGAGCATCATTATTAACATAAGATTTGCAGACGATACCGCAATCATGGCAGAGAATATGGACGATTTACAAACTCTCCTGGAAATCATTAACAGAGAAAGCAAAAGATGGGACTAACAATGAATATAAATAAAACCAAATACATGGTGATCTCAAAAAACCCTGTTGACAACATACAACTGACATAGGAGGGAAAACCCTAGAGAAAGTCGACAAATATAAATACCTCGGATACCTCAAGAGCAGGAGATAAAGGTCAGAATAGAAATAGCTCGAAAAGGCTTTATAAAATACAAGTCAATGTTTACAAATAAGAAATTGATTATGGCCATCAGATTGAGGTTTGTCGAATGTTATGTTTGGTCGCAACTACTATATGGGGTAGAAGCTTGGACTCTGAAAGCCCAATCTATAAAAAAATTGGAGGCATTCGAAATGTGGCTATATAGGCGTATTTTGAAAATTCCTTGGACTGCAAAAGTCTCAAATGAGGAAGTGTTAAGACGAGTTGGACGTGGCAGAAAGCTTATGAACACAATTAAAATAAGAAAAACATCGTATCTGGGCCACATACTCCGAAACGATAAATACTCTCTGCTACAAGTCATCATGCAAGGTAGAGTAGAGGGAAGAAAGAAGAAATCTTGGCTGAGGAATATCAGAGATTGGACTAACCTCAGTGTTGAACAGATATTTCACGTTGCAAAAGATCGAGAAGCGTTTAAAGAAGTGATCGCCAACCTTCGTTAGAAGACGGCACAAGAAGAAGAAGAAAAGTAATTTGTACTGATTTGCTAGCATTAACACTGATCTTCCATCGTTCAAGCCATAAGGGTCGATGTCCACTGCCAATATTCCCGTGTCATCGGCAAAAGTAGCTAAGAAGGTATCATTGCTGGTTGGAACGTCTGCTATAAATATCATATACATAAATGGACCCAAACCGCTACCCTGAGATACGCCAGATTATATGATGTGTTAATTTAAGTAGCTGTTTACAATTTTGACTTGGAAATAACAGTCAGTAAGATACGATTTTATTATAAAGTATAGTTGGTCTGCTAGGTGTAATTTCAGTTTGTAGAGGAGACCTGCATGCCATACTCGATCTAATGCCTGTTGTATAACTAGAAACACTCCAGTGCAAAACTTTTTCTCTTCGAGGGTTGTTTTAATTATATTTACTCTTCTGTTGTCAAGAGGACTAATAAAAAACTCGCAACTTTTCGGCCAAAATATTAACAATATAAAAAAGAGAAATCCGAGGTGGCTAATACTGATTAAATAGAATTGAGAGATTTCTTGGGACTGCTTCTTTATACTTCTATATTTATAAGTCAAATCATGAAGATCTACGAAGTCTGTTTGCTACGAACGGGAAAGAACGGTCTATATTTAGAGCAGTTATATCGCAGAAACATTTCCTCTTCCTAATGGCCGCCTTAAGGTTTGACGATGTCTCGGACCGAGAACAAAAAGCAAAGAATAATTCAGCTGCTGCTATCCAAGAATTCTTTGATTTATTTGTAAGTGCATATACGGTTGGGAAAAATGTGTGTGCAGACGAAATGCTGGTAGGCTTTAGAGGCAGATGCCGCTTTAAAATGTATATTACCAGCAAACCCTGTAAATATGGGATAAAAATCTTATGTATGACTGACGCATGAACTGGCTATTTACATTTGCTTACTGGTTGCTTACATTTATGCTGGGAAAGGTTCAGATGGATTAAGCCTTACAAATGCAGAAAGAAGAATGAGCATACCTACTCAAGCCGTCAAGATTAATCAAACATCTTTACCATACTAATAGAAATGTAACTGGCGACAACTAGTTTAGTTCAGTTGACTTAGTACATCATCTACAACAAGACAAATTCAAGTTCAACTAAAAAAAATAATGCTGTGATATTAATTTCTTCCGTGCTTCATTTTATAGAAGTAGATGCAGATAATGGATTACCAGAAATTTTTTTTTACTTGACCAAAGGGGGTGTAGACGCAATGGATGAAAAGTGTGTAAACTATTCCTGTAGCCGCAGAACACGTAGATGGCCCATGGCTATTTTTTATAAAATAGTAGACGTATGAGGAGTAAATTAACACCTTATGTTTAGTTCGATTCCCGAAAATAATTGGACTAAATTTAAATTTATAGAAACCCTAGCCGATGAACTCTTTTCCTCACATTTGCATGGAGGATAAGAAATACCAACATTACAAAGGCAGCTGAAAGAATTTATCGGAAGTATCTTTGATATTCCCGAAAATAAGGCTAACGAAGAAGAAAAGCTTGAAATAAGAAAAAATTGCTACTCTGTCCATCCAAATTAAGAAGAAAGACTGCATATTTATGCACAACATGTCAAAAACCCATATGTTTGCAATGTTCTCGAAACATTTGTATATATTGTACCAGGGTAGAATAGATTTTTAACGTTTTTTGCGATTTGCAGGTTATGCAGAATTTTTAATTTTTTTTGAAATATGACTTTAAAAATGTTATAAAACATGTTACTATTTTTTTCTGTTTTTGTTATAAGTCCTTCAGTTTGATTTTTTTTTACTAAATAAAAATGACATTAGAATATTGTTTTATTGTTAAAAACTGTTTAATTGCATTTTTTAGGTGCCAGTTTGATAAAAACAACTTTTTTTAGCCAGGAATCTGTCAGACTTATTGTCATCATTTATGTATTTAAAAATGGGGTCACTAGTAAAGGTTAACCCTTCAATATCTCATATCCTAATATAAATATCAGATTTAGTCCTATACTGAAGTAAAACATCTATCGAAGCGTAAATATTTAGTTTACGAAACTATTTGATTTTGACCTAAACAAAAATTTAATACACACATAACTACATTACAGAATATCAGTTAAACCGATTTGAGATAGCCAATTAAGTTGCACTTACCGACAGTCTTGAAATCTGTGTGAAGTCCATCTACCGTTATCCTGGAGTCCCTTCCGGTTCGTCTGAAAGTGAATTCGTGCCAATTTCCATCGTCGATTCTCCTCCTCGATCCTCTTTGCTTCGATGGACCGGATCCTAGATCAATATGGACGTATATGTGACCGTTATATATCTCTACAGCGAACAAGTCAATCTGAAAAATAGATAAAATGTACCATTTATATTTCGAATAGACAGAATAAATTAACATGATACAAAGTTAGACCTAGAAACATGATAATATAGATCAGCGGTTCTCAAACTTTTTGGTGGCGGAACCTTATTAAACAATTTGCTTCGTAAAGAAATCTTAAATTCTAAAGCCCTAAATTAAAAGCGGCAAAACTAGTAATAAGGTAAAGTGCCTAAATACCGCTCTCTAAGCCAAATTTTAATTTCTGAAATTTGAATTAGAGTTAAAATAATGAAAAAACTGATTTAAGTAACTTAACTCTATGTCTAAGAGTTTTGCTAGTACGATTCTACTAAATGAAATTTCCTGAAGTAAAAATAAATAAATAACAAAATAAAACAAATTTTGGTTCTTTAAAAATGATATCCCAATTCCGTCCCCCACCCATTCCTAAATAAAATGTATGATTTTTTTTAAACATGATTTAAACAGTACTAATATATCTGTTATAATAAATTTATTGAGATAGGAACATGTTTAGAACCAGTTCTATTTATTTCCACCTCCAGACATAAACCACAAACAAAATTTTTGACCTTGGTTGAAGTTGATCGCATCTCATGGCACCACTTGCAGCATTCCCAACACCTTATCTATTTTTCTCCTCGCCTATGAAAAACGTTTTCCACAAATGCCACGTGGTGCATCTTCATCACCTGAACTATCCTCATCATCGGTTGATACCAGTGGAACTTCTATTTCGTCCTAAGAGTCACTTGAATTTAAATCCCATTTGGTTGTTTTCTTTTTGGGACGTTTGTTCAATGATGTTCAGTGTCAGGATTTTCTTTATCTTCCATGATGAGCCGTTACTTAGCCTTTAACTACCTTTTCTCTTCTGCCATTTGTTTCTTTTGTAAAGAGATTTTGAGAGAAGTTTTGTGAGGAGATCCAGTTACCAAGAATGAAGTACCGGCTCTACATGATATGGAAGGTTCGATCACTGGAACATTCTGGATGTCTCGTGGACTGACCACAAAGGCACCTCTTGCTGTTCAAGTTGTCTAGCAATAAAATCATGCTCCTAAAAGACATCAGAATTAAATGAATGGGTCCCAGTCTTCCTAAACCCATTGACGACCGTTTCAAGAGTAGCTGCACTAAGACACGCGTAAGAAAGCAAACTATAGATATTGTTCTGAAGCTATTTTCTTGTGGCATTGTAAATTAATTACTATTAAACTGGGAATAAGCCACAATTAAAGATAAAAATACGTTTATTGACGTTTCAATTTCCACTTCGGAAATCGTTCTCAAAATACAAACTTTTAGATTAAAAAGAAAAATTCTTTTTAAAAAAACTTTTTTTGTAAATAGAACGATTTCCGAAGTGGAAATTGAAACGTCAATAAACGTATTTTTATCACTATCAAAACGGGTTCACTCCCCGCCTCTCGACGCGTTAGTGTTCTGAGCTGTTGGACGTGAATCCCTGTCCTGGCATTTGGTTTTCACCTCTGGTTGCGTTGAGTAGTTGAGTTACTGTGACCAAATGCCCATCTTGGTAGTTAGTATTCGCCTCTGGTTGCGTTGAGTAACTGAGTTACCGTTGCTAACTACTCATCTTCCCGTCTTCTTTTTCTTTTTCTTTTTCTTTGTTCTCCTGAAGAAGCTACATACAATTGTAGCGAAACGTCGAGATGAACCCACTTTTGGGTCACTCACAAATGACACGGTCCAAACCCGGAAGACGAATAAACTATAATTCTGACTCTGGCCGTGGAAGCCTACGATTTCATTTAACGTATTTTTATGTTTAATTGTGGCTTATTCCCAGTTTAATAGTAATTAAACTATAGATACTCCTGACTCTCTTGTTATATCAATAAGTTCAAGATTTCTAGTGTGGGAATAGTGACCATCAAGGATGAGCACAACAGAATTCTCTTTTGATGGGTTTACAATGAATCTGAAGTGTTTAAACCACCTAAGAAACAATGGACCAGTTACCCAACCTGAATCTGAACATCCGCCTATCGACCCTGGGGAAGCTCCGTCAAGCAATTCTTCCTACCACCTTTTAAGTGGCAATATTAACAAGGGCGGAATAACTGGCCTACTACTGATATACAGGTTATGACTGTGGTTGTGGATCCACGTTTAGCAGAAGTTTATGCACTTTCTTTTTCTTCGTACAGGTTACTACTCTAGTAGCTTTGTGCTGGACTACAGATATCCCTGTTTCCTTTACATTAAGTATTTTTGAGGGGTCAAAGTTTATTTTCTTGAGTTCAGGTTTCAGAATAGAGAAATACTCGTCAACATTTTATCTTGTGAATCCTTTAGCTCTAGCCATTGACGGGTTCTGTGGTCGTCTAAGGAAAAGCTCTGGATGGCGTTTGAAAAACAGTCTAACCCACTTATTGCCAGTAGGCTTTGATTCATTCGAGAAAGGATGAGGTACTTGGTTTAAAAGGGCTAAGTGTTAAGCCAATCGCCTCACATCAGAAATAGTCAGTCCATTTTGATGTAAAATAATTAAGGAAGCAGGAATTCAACAACTTAGAATTTCCCATTGGGTTTTCTATGGCCTGTTTGGCGACTCACCACCCGGTATATAGAATGTTACCCTAAGTATGTATATATAATGCATGGTTGCGTAGTATCATTACATGTCTAGTACATTCTAAGTGCATAATTTAAATACACAAGTACTTTACTGTTCTTTCTTATTTTAATTACATTTATTGCCGTCTGTATTATCGTGTAACTAAAAAAGTCATTAAAACTGGGAGAACATCTCGAGAAGACTATAGAGAGACATGCAAATTCAATTGTGTATTAAGACCAAAAAGGTAACGGTGTAATAGAACTATACGAAGTGTACAATATAGCAGATATTAACTGCGGAGAAATTTATGCACCAAAATTCATATAAAACTAGGTTACTTTAAATAAGTCTAAAGAAATTTAGACTTAATACTTATCTCTTTCTTTTATTACATCATTTTTTACCCAATTAACCTTTTAAATTAAAATTTATATGGGATCAAAAACATTTGTATATACTTAACATAAAAAATAGTATTCCGTTTGATGCTTTTTATGCCTTTTCTTCAAATTATTCCTTTTTACAGATCAATTTCCAATATTTGTCCTCAAAAACGTAAAAAGTGGTGCTTTTTAATGCCTTTTCAATTTATGAGAAACGAGACTTATAAAGGAACGTGCCTTTTGAAGCTTGTTAAATCTTAGTTTGGATATTTCAATATTTTCTCCTTTCTGCAAGAAAATTAAATATTAAAAATATTTATTTTTCTAAAAGCCAACGTAAATGTTTACTCGGAATATATTACTCAAGATTTCAAATATTGTCAACAATCATAAATTCTAAAAAGACATATTGTTGTATTTGAAATTATGTGACTAAAATCTAGTTGAATACAGGGTGTCTCAAAAAAAGGTAGTCTCTTGGGTAGGTAAAAAACTGAAAAATAATTGGTTGATGGATTCGACCGTTACTTGATGGAAATTCATTTTATGTAACAATAAAACACTGAAAACTTTGTTTTCAAACTTCCACCAAATTTATTTTAACTATTATCACTACAGCTGTTTCGGCTGATTGCCTTTCTCAAGTCATTTGAGAAAGGCAATCAAGAAATAAAAAAAAACCTTAAGGGGCAAAACAATTAACTGTAGTTACAGTAGCAGAGATTAACTGGAAAAAACTTATTATTTGTCCATTAAAGTAAAAAAAAATGATAAAGTTTGGTTTTTTTACATCTTTGGACCAAACAGCTCACAATTTTGTTACAAGATTGTGTAAACAAGTTCTTACATTTTTTGAGGGTTCTGTAGTATGCCACTTAAAACGATTTTTACCATATAAATATGACCTATCAGTAACATGTGAGTCATATCTACCTTTAGAACCTTCCGATTGCTCACTTTGGTGCCGTGTTGACTTTCAAAAATTACTTCTTCGCTTGTATCGTCAATATCACTATAACTAAAATATTCTAAATCACTAGGTACTTCGTCAGCTCATTGAGCTAAAGCAGCTCAAAATCATCATCTGAAAGTTTTACACCTTTGAGACCAAATATAGAACAATTAGATGAACTTGCTGCCATACTAATAGCGAAAGAATACACTGGACTGCTTTTAACTATAGAAACGGAAGCACTGACATGTGGTACGTGTTACCACAAGAAAATTTTACGTTAACGTGGCGCAGCTGAATGCATAATCGTACCACTGCTCCCCCTTAGATCTGAGCATCCCGATCAGCAACTGTATATGTAGGCCCAGGATGGCGGAATCTACAGGTCTCTCCAGCTCTAAATGAACCCCCCAGAAAGAAATAAGTCCTTCAAAGACAGTCTACTGTCTTTGAAGGACACGCTTTCTTGTTACATTTTTACATTATTAAGCTGACATCAACATTATAAATCATCTAACAAAATATATTACATTTCTGACTTCGGATTTAGTTTTTATTAAAGAGAGTTGAAGTTTAAAAAAATCCTACTAATTAAAAACATCGATTAATAGCCTACAATCACTAATTAAATTTGTTCCAAAGAGAAAATCACTCCTAATCCAGCTAAAAAGTGCAAGAAAATCATTAGAAATAAAGAAATACTCACTCTAGGTGGCCTAATTCCTCCGTTGAAAAGTATCAATCCATTGGCTTCGTTCGTGCGAAACTTAAAAGAAATATTTCCAGACTTCTTGGCATTCCACGGAGGCAGGATCTGAAAATAAATCAAAGGGATAAGTTGTAGGGAATTTAGATAGAATTTTTTGAAATACACACGACCAATGATCGACCACACACTATTATGTGGTGTAATATTTACTTTTAGGATATATATTCCAATACTTAGTATCTGTAAGTTGGTGATTATTCCACTTGCAAAGTATACAGTTTTAATTAGTCTAATTTTTGGGAATTAACCAAAATATAATTAGCAATATTTTTTTGAAGTTGTTTTGATTAATCGAAATGTCAAATAAAATATTACTAGTTACATTAAAGTTAAAATTGATTAGTTTCCAAAAATATAATTATCTATCTACAGTGGGTGATCAAATTATTAGAGCCACCTAGCAAAATTTAATTTTTTTTTTACAAAAAGTGTATATAATTGAGTTGTATAGTATATTAATGCATTTGTTTCTATTTTATTATCTTGTAACACCTAATGAAAGTACAATAAAAAATAGTCTGACATTAGTGGCAACATAGCGGGCGTGGCAATTCGTGACTCAGATGCCATTGTTTTTCAATGCTGTTCAGCCTAGCTTGCAACTCGTGTGAATATTGTTTTGTATTCTTGGTGTCTAGAGTTATAATAAATAGTTTCCATTGCTCTCTAGTGATATTCTGACAGTCGTATACTATTTTTTTATGAATTTAGCAAACATTGCATGTTTTTTGCAACCGATGGTACCAGAACATCATGGGAAAAGCCAAAAAATCTTACCAAGGAAAATAATGGAAATTAAAACTTTATTATTGAACAATAATCACTTCAACAGAAAAATAGCATCAATTTCTAAAGTTTCAAGGGCAACTCTCATCTGTATAAAGAAAAAATTTGACGAACATTTTGATTGTCTCCACGGCACAGAAAAATATGGTCAAAAAAAATGACAATGCTACGAGATGAAAGAAAACTTCTAGGTATTGTCTTGGCACACAAAAACCCTTGAAGATTTTTGAAAATGATGCATAAATCTGGCACCAGTATTTTACCAATGGCAGCTTATTGACAAAGAAAGGATCTGGTGTTTTCAACCTGCCGCCTTGCAAAAAAGCTGCTACTTATACCAGCCATGAAGAAAAAAAGGCTTCAGTGGGCTAAAGATCACAAAGATTGGACCATTGATGATTGGAATCAGGTAAATAACATTGCTTAACATTGTTTTTCTATTATGTAGTTTACAGTTGATCAATTTGACCATGATTCCAAAATAATAATAATATTCCAGGTTTGTTTTTCGGACGAATCTACCGTGCAGATCCTCAAAAATACAACTTAATTTGTAAGGGGAAGACCCGTGGAAAAAGATAAATATTGTATGGAATGTAAAGCACCCTCTAAACATCATTGTGTGGTCTATCAAAAGCAGTCAAGGAACTGGTAGACACTACATTGTCGAAGGAACAATGCGACAGGACCATTACTTAAGAGTACTGCAAAAAAATGCTTTCCCAGGCCTAGGAGTGGTTTTTGAATAAAATTTTCACGTTTTGTAACTCGACGTCTTGTTGCAATGCAAAAACTGTTACAAAATTCTTTGCTGACAACCAGACAACTGCCCTGGCAACTCACCAGATCTGAATGCAATAGAAAATTTTTGAAAGCTCATGAATAAGAAATTTCTAATAAAATTATAACTACAAAGAATCAATTAAGCATAAAAAATATGTTTTGTAGCTCAATTACATACTATTTTTAACAAAAAGTAAAATTTTATCGGGTGGCTCTAATAATTTTCACCCACTGTATATAAAAAGTTATGATGACAAGTCACCCGTTTATTCAGTAAACTAACGACGCCATCTAGAAAAGAACTATGAACTGCCACATTTCAACCATATCTTAAAACTATCATCACCATCATTCAGCCTCAAGAGTCCACTGCTAAACATAGGCCTCTTCCTCATGTTTCCAACCCCGTCTATCTTGCGCCGCTCTTATCCACTTTTTATTGAGTCTTCTTAAATCGTCAGTCCATCTTGTAGGTGGTCGACCGACGCTTCTCTTGTCTGCCCTTGGCCTCCATTCCAATAACCTTCTTGTCCATCGCCCATCTGTCATTCTGGCTATGTGTCCTGCTCATCTCCATTTTAGTCTGCCTATCTTCTCGATTTTGTCAGTCACTCCGGTTCGTTTCCCGATGTCTTCGTTTGTTATTCTTTCTCGGAGAGTTATTCCTAACATGGACCGCTCCATTCTTCTCTGCGTGACTCTCAGTTTGGCAGCTGCTGCTTTTGTTAAGGTAAGTGTTTCTGCTCCGTACGTCAAGACTGAGAGGACGCACTGATCAAATACCTTTCTCTTTAGGCATGTGGCCAGCTCACTTTTAAAAGTTTCTCTCAGTTTTCCAAATGCTGCCCACCCAAGGCCGACTCTTCTCTTCAGTCCATGTCCCAGGTATTTATATCTATCTACGAGTTCTATTTCTTTCCCACCAATACTGATGTTCTGGTTGGGCACCAAATTGGTCATGATTTTTGTTTTCGAGATATTTATATTTAAACCTACATTTTCTGTAGCCACAACGAGTTCCTGTACCATCTCTCTTGCCATACCTAGATCTTCAGCTATTATAAGTATATCATCGGCGAAACGTAAGTTGTTTAGATATTCTCCATCTATTTTTATTCCCTTTGTCATACAATCCAAATTCTTAAAAGCATGTTCTAGCATCGTATTAAAAAGTTTAGATGACATTGGGTCTCCTTGTCTAACACCCTGTCTAACTTACTGTTAATATGTAATTTGACAGTGGTTGTTGCCTGCAGGTATAATTCTTAAATCTATACGTTTAATTTATTATACAATAAGTAATAATTAAATATTAATATAATTAATAAATAATATTATTAATATTTTTAAGGTACGATATATTACAAAATAATTTCAAGTTTTATGTTAATTTTAATTTAAAATTCCAACATCACCTAGGAAATAAATCTGAACAGATAAACTGACAGATAAAATAAATTAATATTAAATAAATAAGTATATAAAAAAAGTATATAAAAAAGTATATAAAAGTATATAATAAGTATATAAAAAAGACTCAGTGGTAAATATACAAAATATCCAGAGTGTAGTAGGAAATTTTCAAAACTTTCAATAAATCGTCTATATAATACCGTCTATAATATAAAATAAATTTTACATTTATCTTAAAGACAAGTAACCGCAACATAATTTGACGTAAAAAGACGGGTACATTTTCTTTTATAAATAAATGTCTATTCTTTAGATAGCTTTCTGTCAGATAGCACAATATTTATCTGGAGGTTAAAAGAACCGGCCCTTTATGCAAGAAGTTTATTATTTTAAAAATTTAATTTTTAATTCTTTTGACAATTTTGTTAATCCTAAAAAATTGGCTGTGAATTTGGTGATCGGTAAAAAATATAATACAAAATTCGAGCTTTCCTAGAAAATAAATTGGCAAACTAGAATTACGCTGGTTTTATACGTGGATCGATTTCATAAGACGACTTTTCGCAAAAAGTTCAGCGACTCTCCAAAGTGGCTAATTTTGTATATAAAAGTTGTACAACAAATTAAAATATTATTCTGTTGTCGTACTAGCCTCACATAGGAGAAAGACAACAAAAAATAAGTAAAGTAATTGTAAATGCAATTGATTGGATTCCTCCGTCGCATAGTGACGGGCAAAATCACTAGTTTAAAGATAAAATGGTCATCATCATCATCATGCAATCTCTTCTGTCCACTGTTCGATATAGGTCTCTTCTATTTTTCGCCACTCTTCGGATAAAATGGTACGATATGGAAATCACATTTAGATGGCAGTGTACCAATACAGGATAACAGCGTTCCCAATTCTACTCTCATAAATTTTGCTACTGTTGTAAAATAAGGACTTATGTTTAGGTAAGTTAAAATTTTTAATAGAATATTGGTGAATGAAATAAATGGCCATAATTCCTAAAATGCTTTTATTTAATAATGTAATAACGTAAAGAAAATCATCTGCGTAAAATATGACACAGTGTCAAGGAAAAATAGACTTCTGTTTAAGAAAAATATAGATGTTCTTGCCTTTTAATGCAACACCTCCCTGTGTAAAATGGTTTAGTTGTCCTCATAAATAATTTTTAGATTTTCTGGTCCAAAAAATTTCGATGATGGAAGAGATTTTCTCAGTTTAAAGTCTCATTTAATGTAAAATGCATACAATATCCTAAATCTATATACATGGTTATTTTGTTATACTTAAAAGATTTATATCTATGAAGGATGTTTAGCATTAATATAATATATCGTCGTTATTATTGTCCTAAATGCTCAATCATGTACGATTATGGTAAACGCTGGAGGTATTAATCTATTTTATGACGTGGAATATTCCTCTTTGATACAACTAATTGCTAATCATGATGTTTCGAATTATTCAAATCCAAGTAGCCAAGGAAAAGTTTAAGCCAAATTTAGCCAAGGAAAAATTACAAAAATCTTGTAAGTGTTTCTCCATAAGTATAGTTTAGTGAATAAATATTTGGATAATAATTGAACATTTAATGTGTATTTAATAATTTTTATTAATTTTACAAAAGAATATTATCTTAATTGATAATCTTACAGACATTGAGAGGAAACAGTTGATTTGGTATGGTCATGTTCAAAGAATGGAAGACACAAGACTACCCAAGAAGATTATGCAGTGGGTACCACCAAACCGCAAAAAACGAGGAAGACCCAAAAAGACATGGAAAGAAGGGGTAACTAAAGCAATGAGTACAAGAGATCTTAGAGACGGCCAATGGGATGATAGAAGGACGTGGAAGTTAGGCATCGGACAACGTCGAAAGACGTTCTAAAACCGATATATACATATATATATATATATATATATATATATATATATATATATATATATATATATTATCTTAATAATGGTTACATTGTAATAGCACAAAGTCCCACTATAGGATTACTACGTTTATAACGTAGTTCATAAAACTCACATGTTTATATAC